CAATTCATAATGTCAAACCTTGGAAAGTATCTAAATATCCCTGCCCTAATGCCAAGTAAATATCAACTGAATATGTGTCGCCGTTTGATGTCTATGTCTGGACCGCTGCGTAAAAAGGAGGGTTTCTGCCACATTACTTATCTTCTTACTTCTATAAGAATAAAACACGGAGGAGGGAGATCTCTTTTTCTCCCCCTCTTCTGACAGCCCAGCAGCTGATCTCAGAGCACGCTCCCCTCTCCTGCAGGGGGGCGTGGTCAGCTGCAGCTCACAGAATCGGCCTTTTCTATAAATATAATTTAAAAATGTCGATACAGTAGCCCCTTTTTAAAAAAATAGTTTTTATAGGTGTTGCTATCTGTTTTGTGTAGCGTGGTTCTACAAGCAAGTCGGTGCATTCATTGGGTGGTATCAGAGAGTTACAAGGGTCTGTAAATGAAATGAAAACATTTGGCCACAGCAAATCATTTATATCAAACATGTCATTTGTACTTTTGAATACTTCAGTACAAAGGATGTATTGAGTAATACTGAAAAGTGTTTAATGTTTTGATAATGCTGGAAACCACTGCATTGTGTGTTTTAGGCTATCTTTGCCAATAAAATGTATTAAAATCTGAATTACATAACATTGTATTGGCTGTCAGTCATGATGGAAGAGTAGACAAGTTAAGTTACAGCATGTCCACCATCTGCATATGCATTAAGCCATTTGCATTAAGCCCTTACCACATTGTGCCTCATATGCTGTAAATGTTAGACCCAGTGACAGGCTGGCATGAAATGTCTTGCATAATACTTAGTAAGGAGGCCATAATATTTTTGACTCATGGCTGAAGTTAAGTTTCTCCAGCTCTCCCCAGGTTGGCAAAAAAATGCATCTCAAAATGCATCAGATTGATGCTTTAAAATATGGAATATTCAAAATTCCGGGGGAGCATGCCCCCGGACCCCCCTAGAGGGATAATATCCTTCTCACCTTTTTCACCCCTGACCCGTTTTGATGCCTGGTGTGTGTGTGTGTGGTCACTCACTGCTCCTGAGGTTGTGGCAGGTAAAAACGTGATTGCTGCTCTCTGTGAGCTCTCCTAACAGGATTGGAATTGTTTCGATGTTTATCATGTGGTCAAACATTAAGATGGTGTTTCTGTCTCCAGGCTTGTCACGCTGTCGCCAACTTCAAGTCCTCTGATGATATCATCCCAGCCCCGCCTCCACCACCACCGAAAGAAGATCCCCTTCGAGCGCTGACGGAGCGAGGACACGAGTCCGTCTACAACAAAGGTCCCGCCTCGGCATCTGAGAGCAACGACGAGATCACTGCGACCCCGGTACCAAGAGTTGGAATGGATACGTCCCTGCAGGGGTCTCCGGGGGAAAGTCTGAAGAGAGCCAGCGTTGACGTGGAACTGCTGGCCCCTCGGAGCCCAATGGGGAAAGAAACAATGCTCACCTTTAGCAACACCTTACCGAGGAGTAGCATGAACGTGGATGGTTTCCTGGAGGAAGTAGGTCCAATGCAACCCATGCAACAAATGCAACAAATGCAACAAGTGCAACCAGTGCAACCAGTGCAACCAGTGCAACCAGTTCAAAGGCGTTTGAAAGCGGTTCAGGGCCCGGTTGATCCAATGCGTTCCCAGCAACTGGTGTCAGAGTGGAAGCAGAAGTCGATGGAAATGAGAGGCGTTCGGGATGAAGTGGAACGTGAGAATAGCGAAGATGGAGGATCGGAGGTGGGATCATCTGTGGGGACGGATGATTCAACAACACCCGTGTTCCCAGTTCATTCTGTGAGGGCGCCGTCCAGTCGTAATAACCCCACTCCGCCTCCAGTTGGCGCCAAAGCTGTAGCGACTCCCCGCCCGCCACAGATCCAAGAAGCAGCTCCGCCTCAAGTGTCTCCGAAAAGCGCTTTGACTCGGGCAAAGTGGCTCTCAATTCGAGAGAAAACGAGTGGCGGTGAGGCGTCGAATCGCACCAATCAACCTCGTTTAATGCAAGTTATCGCCATGTCCAAACAGCAGGGGCTCCTCCCTTCTTCTTCCACCTCTTCGGGGGAAAAGTCCTCCGAAACCACTTCCACCTCCTCCTCCTCAAACGCCAACGAGTCGCCACATTACCGCGAACATAAAGAAAATACGGGTATTGTCACTGTTGACGCTCATGCCCCGCATCATCCAGTAGTTCAAGCCCCGTCCCCTCTGCAAGCCCCGCCCCTAGCAGGAAACGGTAATCCATGGGAGTGGGGAGCGAGGCCAAGTGACCCGCGAGACTCCTACGATCTGAACAGCTTGACCAGAGGAGATTCCTCCGCTCACGGGAGCAGTTTTCGGCCTCATCGCTCAGCTTCTCCAGGTGCTGATCCTCAGAGAGAGATTGCTGTGGAGGCTCAGCGCCGAGAAATGGCCATGAGACGCAAAACGGCTCTGGTTCTGCTGGACCGAGAGATCAGGAACCAGACGGAGCAGGAGAACTATTACAAGAGTCTGCAGGGGCGCAGGTTCAAGGAGTAGAACCTTTCAAAACAAAAGCCTTATGTGGCAGCGGGGTGTGGTTAGAGCGCCGTGGAGTCATGGGAGACCAGGCAGCTGATCAGAATCAGGCAATAGAGTGATGCAGTGATGATTTACCTTTGTAGGCCGACCCGGAAGTAAGCTGCTGGTTCCCTCGACAAAAGAGCAATGGGATTTCTCCATAGGAATTGGGATTATTGTAAAAAATAAGACCTGTGGAAACGAACCTGTTTGATAAATGCACGTTTTCTTCAGCCGGATAATCTCCACAGATTATCGAATCATAAATCTAATGTCCAGAAGCTAAATGCTAACGTGATGCTATAAAGGAGCTACAGCCGAGTCCAGCAGCACGACTTCAACGTCACGCCAACTTCAGATCCATATTCAAACACACAGATTCTAGATGGAACGAGTTGAAGTGTTTCTTTGAACAGTCTGCAGGAGGCAGGGACTTGCTCTCAAGCAGAACAGAAACTAACTTAGAGGAGTGTTTACGTGTTCGGCGTAATGACGTACAACGACCTCCACAACTTCTGTAGTCCTATTCAGCCACTTGGTAACAACCATCGCTTTTCAGACACGTCCACTCTTCAGAGATCACCAGTGGGGTCACTGCTGATGGGTTTAATGTCGTAGACAAACCGTGATCCGTCTCTTCAATGTGTCTCAACCACAGACCTTATTTCAGATACTTTCCAGAACCCTATGGAGAGATCCCATT